TTGATTTTGATGCCGATATAAGTTAACATAGTTTAATAAATAATAATTCTACCTATAGCGATAAATATATCGATAAATACCTAATAGATGTGTCATATATATAATGAAGTCGATAAACTTTTGATGTCAATAAGAATATCGATGCAGATGTCGCTAAAGACATACATACCGTCGATGTTTTTGCAAAACCGCCCATCGACCAGTTGCAAAACCGCCTAAATCGCCGTTGTGGCAAAAATGAGACTTCGTAACCCTGAACTCCAGGCATCGAGATTTATGGATAAAAATCGTAAAATCGTTATTAAAACAATATACATATTTTTGAAATAATAGCTAAAGAAAATGCCGCCTCTCAAAGCACTGCCTTCAAAGAAAACCCGGTTTTTCGCTCTCCTGTAAAATTTGAGATCCTTGCGTAAAATTTACGATCCGTAAGATAGGCGGGTTTGCAATTGGGCGATGGGCGGTTTTGCAAAAACATCGACGATATGTATGCATCTTGATATTTAACCATCAAATGGTTTTCAACTAAATTTACTGACAGTAGCTTGTTTAGCCTCATTTGACCTTCGTTGGTTATACAATTTACTTTATACATATTACATACGCAATGATATCAAGTTCAGTACAAGTGATTTTTTACCTACGCATGCATTTATATTGTATAACTTTTCACTAAATTTCATTTTAAATTTATTGCTGAATTTCTGTTTAAAGAAAGACTTAATTTATTACATGCAAAGTCAGCTAAATAATGTTGTTGATTCGTTGCATTTTTTAGTGGTAAGTTTTTATTCGTGGGAGATAAGCAAAAATAATTGCATAAATACTTAGCAGGAAGAGTAAAATAAAATTAACATTTTCGGATTGACAAATTACGTAAAAACCAGTAGCTAAAAAAATCGTATTTTGCCAAAGAAGCGTAAGTGGTAAATACTAATATTAGATCTCTGTAATTGTGAATATTTATTTAGAGGGATCTAGAATAAAGCAAATAGGTATTGCTCAAGATCATTTTACGAAACCGTTTTGTTGTGATTGCACATTTTTTATTTTAAGTTTCGCTTGAGTTGCCGGATGTAAATTTTTTTTCTGCGTGTATTTCTTGGCCGCAACAAGATAGTGATCTGAGTCAATGTTGGAGCGTACCGATGTATGTATGTACGTCCAAAACACTGGAAGCGTGCCTTGCGTCTAGGGATGGCAGCGATTGTTCATTTGAAATTAACTGATTATTTTTGTCCAATTTACGATTTAATTGTATCGTAGTTTTGTGTTTCACTAATCGATTATTAAGTAGCCTACAACGAATTTTTTATGAGACTTGATGGGAATATTCACCAAAATTAGATGTTTCGGGTTATTTTTTCAATGGCAAGTGCTCTATTTGTCATCCTAGGAAGGAAATGGGACATTATACTAAAGTCAACCTCTCGACTTAAGCTGTTATGGCTTGTGGCCACAGATTTCTTGCCTCACAACACCCGGCGTATTTATTGGATAGCGGTGATGTTAGACTTAGTTGCCTTTCGGACATCAACCAGCCACGCAGAGAAACCTTCCCCATTAAGAAGGGTTTAAAAATCCCAGATATCATCAAACCATATTCTTTTAAGTGTTCGCCATGGGTAGCATTCAAGGAACGGGCTACAGGCAAGGCTTTGTTAGAACTTTGATTTATGCGGCGGGTAATAAGACCCAGCGCACAACCTGAACCTGGGCGAATTTTTGATTACACGTTTATATAGCGAGGCGCCAGCTACCCACACAGATGCTCGCTTGTAGCCGTATCTACTGATGAACAGACGCTGTTGACTTTAGCGAGCCCTTAAATCGAACAAGTCGGAGTGGCAGACTGCACTCCTAATACCTAATCATGTTTATATATTCATGGATGTCCATAAGTATGTACATATGTACTTAGATTCTGGAAATCTCCTTATGTATGTATTTATCGACAGAATTAAACATGTACATACTTTAATTATCATCTGAAGTATCAACAATTGGGGATTTTTTTGTTATTAAGCAAATGCCCACACTATGCACTGGCGCACACATAAACATATGGGCATTTCCTAAAACGAGACAACCAAAAGCAAAAAATAAAAACCCATCTGGACCAAATTTCATGAAGCCAATTGACAGCTGAAATATACTAATAGGTACAACGATTTACAAGATTAGCGATTTGCAAACTTCTTTTTCTTTATATTCTTTGTAAAAAACATACTTCGCTAATTAAGATACAAATTCATAAAGAATTAAAAGTATATCTAGTGATTATGTACGTCTTATGCCTTTTAAATTCCTTATCAAAAATTATGCAAAAATGTGTTACAAATGGTCTTAAGTTAAAAGTTTTGGTCACGTTTACTTTATTTGCTAAAATTTTAAAATGCTCATCATAGAAGAAAACAACCTGGTTGATGAAAGTACTACATCATCAGCGTAGGTCATTACTTTTACTTCCCCTTTGGTTGAGCTTGACTAGTACTAAGTTGATAGTGGTAGGTCATAAAATTGGAGAAATCACTCCACCCTGAGGAGTACCCCTACTGACGTTCCTTTTTGGCAGCTTCCCATTACAGCTGAAATCATTCTACTGCAAAGCATCGCCATAAATCATGAGTTTATAGCCTCCTCCATGCCAAGCTCGTCCAGGGATTTTTGAATAGCTTCTACACAGACATTGTTAAAGGCTTCCTCTATGTCGAGGAAGACTGCATTCGAGTGCCGTCTCAACTGTTCTGACCGCGAGAAAGATTCTAACGCCCATAGTTAGCTATGTAATTAATTTTTACATACATTCTCATATGCAGCGACTAAGAATAAAACCCATATTTGAATAAAAATATCAATCCCTGCGACGAATTCTTTAATAAACATGAGCATTTCTGTTCACTGGACAACATTAGAACGTCCGAATAACTTTGACCCGTTTTTGACAAGTACTGAACACCTTTATGAAGTTAAAACTACCATGACGGCAAAGACTGCTGACTCATCTACCAACGACTCATACATCATTGTTTCGTAGCTTTAATAGATGAACAGAATTTTATAAACTTTGTCAGCTGATGTACATACATACTTGAGGCATGATTCAATAATATTTAATTTTGAATCATGCCTTTTAGGAACGTCCTTACAGCTATTTTTAGGCGCCCTAAACTAACTAGGGGATATTTATGGAAAACAGTTTTACTTGTGTTGGATGTAGGAAATTTGTGACATTCAAACAAAATGTTTGGATCCAAAGCCTACAATTGTTTTTATAATGAAAGTTATCTCCGCATGGAACGTCCGTAACGCAGGAAATGCCCATATGTAATTATTTATACCTCGCATCTCTTGGTCTCATTCACCTTTCTCTGTGGTCGCAGCCACTTCAACTATACCGGCAGGCAAAAATCGAGAACAATTCAATACACACCTCAACAAAGCTTGGCCACATTATTGCAACTGTCGATCCACGAGTAACTACATACATACATATTATCTTTAGCACGGTAGAAAGTGGAGAAGGCAAACAGTCAGGTAAGACAACAAAGCCAAGGTAGAAAATACTTAAAAAAATATTTAAGACTGCGTAAGATAAAAACTCATAAGAAATAAGCAGATAGCAGAAAATGCAGGCCAACCAAATCGATATTGCACGCAAAAAAAAAACAATTACGATGAAGACAAAGTATGGACAAATTCGATTAAATATGGGGGGACAAGCGCCACGACGGCAACAATCGACACACAAGCCAACCAAAGTGCCATAAACCATGTATCCCTGCAGCAATTCAGACTCGCCCTAGGTTAGCCTTCAGATAGTCCCTATTGTTACCAGCACTAGTCCCTCACAATTCCCCTGCCAATGGTTTCAACTGCCATTTTTAGCATTGGCGTGTCATTGGAAAAGGACCGGTCCAATCAACACTGACCGTAAGATAGTCCCGGACTAGTCCAATTTTGGAGATTTTTTTCGTTAGAGTAAGATTGCGTTCTGCACTTCGCAGATGCTTGTTCATAATTCGGAAACACAAAAAAAAAAAAATTTTATCATTTTATAACCATGTTGCTTCTGACGGCATTTGAACCCGGACCCTCCAGAAAGCTAACAAATAGTGGCAAGCATCTCTGCGCACTAAGCTACAGCCACGCATGTAAATGTGTGTTCAAATGTTCACTTCGCATCAAGGCCGGACCAAGCGATTGGTACATTTACAGGGTGGTGTTCTTTAATTTTTTTTATTGAATTGCAAGACAACACCACCCTGTCACTGCCGAACTGTACTTTTCGTCTATCTCTAGGCCGGTTCCTTGGGGACTGGTCGAAGGCTGAAATTTTCGATGCAAGCAAATGTCCAATTCTGACCAGTCAAATTTTAACCAGTGAAGTACTAGTACTTTACGGAAAATTGGCCGCCTTATTGCTGCAGGAATTCATCTACATACATATGTATTGTAATACATTTATATTAGAGATGGGCGTGATAACGGGACCAGCGGAGCCCACGGCACTAATTTCAAAATGGTCGGGATGGGCGGGAGCGGCAAGTGAAAAAAATCCTTTCCCGGCATTCCCGATAAAACCCGCCAGATCTCTCAGTATGCCGAAAGTAGAATATTCGGTAAATATATATTTGAGTGCATACATATATGTATATGTACATATATATGTTATTCAAAATTTGTTTGAGAACCATAGTGATAGATATGAGAACCCCGCAACCCGCGGTACAAATCTAAAAAAGACGGGATGGGCAGGTCCGGGTCCTAAAAATTGAATGTCGTGATGGGCGGGATCGGGATTGAATATTTAGTCCCGGGCCCATCTCTAATTCATACACAGCCGCAACGCATTAGCTGCCGCAGCCGCCATCAAACCAAACGCTATTCATCCAGGCAGTCAACGAAAACAAGCAAAAGGCAGCCAGGTCACGCCGGACCAGACCTCAGCCGCCGCATGAAGATTTGCCAGCAGCCAGTAAGTCATCAACAAACGAACGTACTCGATAAACCAACAACGTATAATAGCAAGCCTGCCAGCGAGACAGCCGATCAACTAAGCGATCACTCAGCCAACTACTACATACATACAGTACGATCCATTCAAGTGGCAGGTGATGTGTAGGGGGAAGCGCACCTTATAAATACCGGCACTGTTGTTCTGTGCGCTCAGTTTATATTGAACGGTGCTATAGAGAACAACTCATATAAAACTAACGAAAAAGCTGATAAAGCGACGAAACACTAAACATAGATTTCAAAACATTCGAGAAACAACATACATACATATTGCAGAAAGAAAAGAAAATACATACAAATTTTATAGAGACTTGTAAGCATTTCAACAGAGTTTTACCTACAAGTATTTTGCAAGAAACTCCTGCCGTATAATTACGGTGATTAAATAGTGAAGACAGTGTTAAAAGTGTAGTGTAAAAGAAAAGACAAAAACAAATTTTGAAAGTCTTTGTGAAAACTGCAGTCGGTGACAATTTCACGCTACTGGCAAGACAATTCATCGTGAAAAAATAAACAAAAATTTATTTTAGTGATTTTCTTTTAATTATTATTATTTTTTTTAGTGATTTTCTTTTAATTATTATTATTTTTTTTAGTGATTTTGGTGTAACATTTCACTTTTGGGTGGAAACTACAAAGCAAAAAATGTTGCGAGGTAGCGTTTTATTGCTAACACTACTAGCCATATTCGGCTATCTACAGGCGTTGCCATACTATGGAGAGTAAGTACACCTTAGAAATTTTACATGTAAAAAATACGTAAATACATATGTATGTGCATACCTTCTTGCATTGCAATAGCGGCAACATGTGCAACACAGATGTGTGCAGCACTGGAAAAAATGGATATGCCACGCACATATATATGTATGTATGTAGTCCATGCATAAATATTGCGCTATGTACATGGGTATGTATGTACATATGTATGTAAGTATGTCGTAATTTATATTTGAAACACCTACATAAAACGATTTACACATTAGTTTGCTTGTTTATTGGTAAGACCATCAGCAGAATCATAATTGCATTTTTTCTAATCAAAATTTCTACTCTTCTAAATACATATGTATGTATGTATGTATGTACTAGATTAGGGCACACAACTCTCCATACAAAAAAAATCGGTACAGTTTTTCCACCGGACTTATAAAATTTATTTCATTTGAAGACTTGCGCAAAAATATTTCGGAAAAATATTAAGATTTACGTGAACTGAACCGATTTGAAAATATGTACCTCTAAAAATCAAGCATTCTATAAATAAAATTAGTTCTTAACAGTGTTCGCTATTTTTTTTATTCAGTTTACAACAATAACATGCACTACAGAATAACAATGTTTAACCAGATAACCGGGCAAGTACACAGTAAACTTTGGCACAAACAGTTTTTTTTAACTTATTTATTTTATTTAAAAAAGTACTCGATTTGTGGAGGCACCCTAATGTGCATATGTATATTATACATACATCCGTATGTATGAGGCTATCATGCGTGAATAATATGTATTTCTAAAAATATACTATATGTAGGTACACATATACATATGCATATACCTTCACTTACCTACACCACATAAGTATGTATAAATGTACATCATCGTTTGATTTATTACTTCTAGTAATTTCTCAATTAACGGTCATGCATGCAGCAGCCATCATTTCAATTTAAAGTGAAATTACGTTGCAAGGCAATTGAAATGAAAGCGCACAGTTGCAGCAGATTTAAAGATTATATAAATATGTATTTAAATGCATTATGAAAAGTGCAGTAGCTTTTTTATATTGAATTCTTAAATTGGCAATAACACTTTCCAAGTCTGTCTATATACATATATATGTATGTACAATTATTCACTCTAACTCAAACGCGCCGTTTGGATGGGATTGCCCACTTCACAGCTGTCAGTCAATCTAATTGCACTAACTGTTTAAAAAAATCGTTAAATAAGTTTCTAACGCCGCAAAGAATTCTAAGTAGATACATGCATACACTTAATAGAGTGAATCTCACCGGTGTTTATAATTATAGTACAAACGAGCATTAAAGCGAATGAGGAACAATTTAGGTAGATACTGTATTAAAGTGCAAGCATGTATGTACATCCATATTTGTTATTTTGTCGTTTTTTTTTTCGCTCGCAACATTTTAGTACATTTCTGGTTTTAAAACTCGATGTGCCATACATTTCAATTAAAATAAAGTATGTACTTTGAGCAAAAAATACAAATAAAATAATAAGTGTTCAAATTACAAATACTCATTTGTTTTTCTAAATTGTATTTTGCGTTTTCGTGATTCGCGTATTTTGCGATTCAATTTGAATTTTTAAGTCCGCATACATACATACATATTAAGTTTCTAAAAATTCGAGAAACCTAATGAAATAAAAATTGTTAATTCCACAAAAAATAATGATTAAAACACACGCTAACACAGAGCAACAAATTCTGATTCTTTTGGGGATAATTCGAGTTTCTTAGGTTTGTTTTAGTTAATTTTTTTTTGGTTTTCATGCTTAAAAATTCGTTTGCTTTTTAAGCAAATCTTCAAAAAAAAACAGTTGCTTAATTGAGTGCGTTGCATTTTCTGTACTCCAATTTTTAGAGGGAAGGGTTTGAAAACTTAACTTTGGTCACTTTGCGGAGCCGAGCAATAAGTTCCCGTCGACTTTATAATAATACCCAATTATTTATTTAACCACTTTTTCATAGTAGTAGGTCCGCCAAAACCCCCAGAAAATGCCAGAAAACGCAATGGGCGATAAATATAAAATCTTAAGTTTAAAAAAATTGTTAAACAAAGAATTAGGTATGTTTATTTGAAGTCTACTGAAGAGAACCAGAGTTTTCAGATCGAAAAATATTGATTTTCAAGAATTCTATACCGTTTCTACGAAAAGTTGTTTACTTCCTATTTAAAATACATGGAAAACTTCAAGCGCTTTGAGCGACCGCTAAATATTTTTTGATTTCAAAATAAAAAATAGGGTATATTTTTTCGATATAGAACAATCCTAGGGGTGAGAGCATTAAAGTTCCGACTTTACTTATTTTGGACCGCCAATGTTCAACGTCTACCAAATACCCTGTATGATTACAATAACTGTTCCTATTTCATAATTTAATTCTAAATTCGTTTTAAATATGTCCTCTTAATCATTTCTTTTACTAAGCGAAAATATTGTATTACTCAACTGCAAGACAGTCTTGTTTTTAGAGAAAATGATAGTTATCAACTGAAAAAATTTAACTATTATATAGAATTCAAGATCAGTTAGTTTTAGAACTTAGTGGGCCAAATTTTTTGGGAGAATTCGCTTACTTCTAGAGAAATTTACAGCTTATTTGACCGCTGTCAACAATTAATTTGACATACTATTCGTGATTAGCGTGTCTCGAAACTTAATAAGTGGCTTTTAAAAACGATTTTCGTCAACAAGGAAGCGCAATTTTGGCGAGTTACCTCAGGAATTAATGAATTCAAATTCTGAGAGTCAGTTAAAGCAAAATTTGTTTTACATTCAGTTGGACTGCGTTTTTGAAAATAGGACAAGAAGATTTGATGCTTTCAAGAATCTTGAATCAATATTCGGGGTTTTTTTTTTGAAAATATCTTGAGTTAACCGAAGAAACCTGGCAAAGGCAAGCAGCATCCTTCTGTGAGGCTTACGAACGTATATATCGCACATTTAAAGACCATTCGCGAAGCAAATCTAAACACCGAAGATATGCCCCCGTTGCAACTCTTAAACAAGTTACACGAATTGAGAGGGATGCATTGTTCCATAATTTGATGAAGGATTCTGGTAGAATACCCACTCAGAAAAAATGTTTGCTCGGTAAAATTTCTTTCCAACGCAACGAACCCTCTTTATTATGAAAAGAAAGTCTTATTTTGAAGTTGTTACAAATGCGTTTTCAAACATTTTTTTTACCAGCTATAGTATATGAAGAGGGTGGATTACCCTAGCGTTAGAGTAAAAGGCTATTTTTGAAATAGGACTGCTATATAAATTTTTCTTAGTAAGGTTTCAGGATCGTGCGGTTATTATAAGTTCATTTCTAAACTAATTTGAAAGTGCCTAAAAGCAAAAATTTGATTGTATGGAGATTTTCTATTTTACTCCATATTGTTATCTTTGCTTAGACCAAAGATGGGCAAAGTGGCTCCCTGGAGCCTTTTGCACTTAGGAGCCGGCTTGACACATTTAGGTGGTAGATGAGATGCAACATCAAGAGCCAGCATAAAGGGGGAAGAAGAGCGTATTCAAATTTCTTGTACTCCGACTCTCATTACAAATATGTATATAACGGGTGATTTTTTTGAGGTTAGGATTTTCATGCATTAGTATTTGACAGATCACGTGGGATTTCAGACATGGTGTCAAAGAGAAAGATGCTCAGTATGCTTTGACATTTCATCATGAATAGACTTACTAACGAGCAACGCTTGCAAATCATTGAATTTTATTACCAAAATCAGTGTTCGGTTCGAAATGTGTTTCGCGCGTCCGATTTATGGTCTACATAATCGACCAAGTGAGCAAACAATTAATGCGATTGTGACCAAGTTTCGCACTCAGTTTACTTTATTGGACATTAAACCAACCACACGAATGCGTACAGTGCGTACAGAAGAGAATATTGCGTCTGTTTCTGAGAGTGTTGCTGAAGACCGTGAAATGTCGATTCGTCGCCGTTCGCAGCAATTGGGTTTGCGAAACACATTTCGAACCGAACACTGATTTTGGTAATAAAATTCAATGATTTGCAAGCGTTGCTCGTTAGTAAGTCTATTCATGATGAAATGTCAAAGCATACTGAGCATCTTTCTCTTTGACACCATGTCTGAAATCCCACGTGATCTGTCAAATACTAATGCATGAAAATCCTAACCTCAAAAAAATCACCCGTTATAATGCTTTCGTCCGCTGTGGTGTAGTGGTAAGCAGTGCGCGCTTCCACTCCACAATGCCTGGGTTCAAACCCTGGTCAAAGCAACATCGCAAAAATATAGAAAAAAGGTTTTTTCTTAACAGCGGTCGTCCCTCGGCAGGCAATGGCAAACCTCCGAGTGTATTTCTGCCATGAAAAACAGCTTCTCATAAAAATACAATCGCCGTTCGGAGTCGGCGTAAAACTGTAGGTCCCTCCGCTTTGTGTGACAACATCAAGGCGCACGCCACAAATCGGAGGAGAAGCTCGGCCAAACACTAACATATGTGTAAGCGCCAATCTATTATTATTATATATAATGCTTTTAATGTATTTTGTACACCCCTTCTACCCTGAGAACTGATTAAGCTCTTGCTTAGCACTTGCTGGCTCTTTGGCGGCTTTAAGAGCCAAAAATCTGCCCATCCCTGGTTTAGACTATGCGGCTTTTGAAACTTGGTTTTAATATGTTTTTTAAAAACGAACATCCAATTTAAAAGCGGCTGTTTTCAGCAGTCAGCAAACGGTTCGGAAAATCGCATTCATATGTATATATTTTAAAAAGAATCATGATTTACGCGAGTTATCATAAACAAGTTTTTATAAATGTGTTTATAACTTAAGAGACTTTTTTTTAAAAAAATTATTTTTGATGCAGAAATGCATCTAGATGCTCTACGAATATTTTTGCGTCAAAAAGAAAATTTTTGAAAAAATGTCGCTTACGTTATTTTGGCGGTTAGGGCTCGATATTTGCAAAAGATATCTGAATTTCAGAAATTT